TACAGGGAATTTTGGCATTGGTAGTTTTTTTCAGAGCCACCATGTATAGAACCTAATGAACAGACAGACTGTTGCAGTCCCTTGTGGTTCTCGTGAAACTTAGCAAGTCCCATTTGCTCTCTCTCAAGTACAGAATTTTGGCTAAGGAAATTCCTGGTGAATTGTGGTAGTTCTAGTGGGGAAGAAAACCTAAAAATCACGCCTAGCTTTTATATTTTTGAACTGCAACCTCCTAGGAGTAATAGCTATGTGGGAGATACCCTCTGCAGAGCCTAGTGGACAATGACATTCCCAGCTTCCAGCATCCTTCATATCCAAGAGGCCTACTTTTGTTGTTTGTTCAAACACACACACACACCCATCACTTGACTGCCGAGCAGGTGTGGGCCCTCCTGGGCATGGAGGATGCTAGGAATCATAGTCTCACTGCCCTTTAGACTCTATAACATGGAAGCTTCTCTGTTTTTGAAAGTAGAAACAGGCCAGAAAATGCTGTGATGGAGAGAAATAATTGGAAAGTTGCTCTACAGACTTAAGGTTCTAAGCTGCCCCTTGCAGAATTCTGTTTGTTATTAAATTACACCAATTATGAATTCTTTATTTTTCTTTAAAACTACATTATAACAAAAAGGTAAAGTAAAGGGTTTGTGGAAAATTTATTTTCCAATTAGAAGAAAACAAGCTACTGATTAGGTTGTTATTGCAGTTAGGTAAACCCATGAGATTATGCTATTTCTGAAATAACTGTTAATCCTAGCAAGGTTAACATGTCAAGCAATTAGATTTCTTCTTTTTGGCACCTGTGAATCACCCCTCCCCCAAATAGAAACCAGAGCATTCATACAGTAGCAATACAAGATGAAACACTTGATCTTGCAACACTGTTCAACCTATTTACACTTCTATGAAGAAAAATTGCCATTAATGTGTTACATTAGCAATCATTGAATTAATCTTGCAAATCACTGAAAGGTTGATCTTGATCTAATAGTTTTATATCCAATTGGATCTCAGAATTGATTTAGAACCGGATGTATAAAATGCTTTGAGCTTTTGTGCTAGAAGTATCAATGTTCATGCTGGAGTGGGGAATCTGTATCTCCCCAGATGCTGCTGGACTACAATTCCCATTGTTTCTAGCCAACATCTTTGAAGAGATGAGAGTTTTAATAAAGTCCATCTGGAAGATGCCAGGTGGGAGTAGCTTGCTTTAAGAACAAACAACTTCCCCCCCTATGTTAACAAGAACAAACTATCTTATTTGTTGGTCCCACAAAACGGTGAGAATCTGAAGTGTATGGCATGACAGAAAATGAAGATTTCTTGAAAAACAGTGATAACGATAATCTTAGAACTGCAGACCTGGAAGGGTCCCTGTGGATCATCAAGTCCAGCCCCTGTAAAGGAGGCACAGCTGCGGAATTGAACTCCCAATCTCTATATCCGCAGCCAGATACCTAAATTACAGAAGTATCCAGCAGTTCATCTTCTATTGTTTTGAGCTTTGTTGAATACAAAGACAAAATTCACACACTAATCTTATTTCCTTGTTCCAGTCCTTTTCGTTGTTGTTGAGAATTTCTATTACAGATACAGGCAGCAAAATAAATAGCTTTAAGTTAGGTAGTTCTTGTCGTAGTGCTACTGTATATAAATCAACTGTTAGTTTCAGTACAACTTACATTTCATGCCTTACAGCTTACATTTCCCCCTCTGTATCCATATGTACACACATCTGCCAACTGGGGATAAAACTTTCTGTATGTGACAAAGTGGGCTCTGCTCTACAAAACATATACTCCCACCATTCTCTTATGGGTGGCAGTGAGGTTGTTGAATGGATAAGGAAACTGATGTTGCTGACACATATAATTTAACATTTTGGATAGTTGAGTAAAAGAAAGCAAACAGGAATCTTCTGGTTTCCACGAGTTGACAAATAATGGAGTGCATGAAGTGAAGGCTTGGCACAGGGAAATGGTGGCAGAGCAGCATCTGGAGAAGCAAGCTTTACTTCATTTATAAAGACATACCAAAAAATGCTGAGTTGGTTTGAGCTTTTATATACAGAAACCCCAGGTTAAGGGGAAACAATTCTAGCTCTACATGGCTGCTAGATGACTTTCCCTTCTCTGGTTTTGTCACCTGTGTTTGCACCCAGGGCAGGATATTGTATTCACATTTGCCAGGGTACCTGAGTAGCTGCCTGCGGACTCCAAGAATAAATTAACTCATAGGTTGCCTCTGTTTCTTTATCTGTGATTGCTTGTCATCACTGTTCTACGTAACTGTCTAAATTACAGGAAACCAACATTTGTAGTTAATGATACAGCTTTACATTTCCTTTCCTAGTGGTTGTGCTTAAATCTCTTTTATCTCCAGTAATAATACTAAGCCAGGCTTCCTCTTCCAATTTATCATTACTTTAAGTATTGTAATTATAGTACTGCTTTTTAATGTAATTGGAACTTTCCTTTTTATCTTTTGTAAGATAATTGGTATGAAGAGCAACTCAAATGTGGCAAGACAGAAACACTTACAGACTAAATAGCTATAAATCTGACCTTGCCACCCATGCAAATCTGTGGCCAAAATCCTATTGCTTAGCATACTAAATTGCACTAGATTAGACCCATTGAATCAAAAGCTATTTGGTGAGTCAGCTCTTCTGTAAGTTCCATTGATTCAAATGAGCCTACTCAAACCGTGACTTACATTAGCATGGTAAATCAGTGGAACTTATGGAGGAACTTGTAACGGCCTCCTTCTACCTCACCAAGGAAGGTCGCTACGTCACTCCACTGTTACTCTTCTGGTAGTCTGCCACCATCCATCCCCTGCAATAAGTATCTTCAGGCCGGAATGGATTTCAAACCAAATAACTAAAGTTTATTGATTGGTACATTAAGATTGGTATAACAAATAAATCAGGTAATCACATGAAGAAAGGCTGTAGCTCACACAGACTCATATCTCCACACAATCTGATCACTATTTCATCTCAACACTCACAGATCCCAATCTCCCCTCACACACATTCACACCCCTATATATCCCAGCTCCTCCCCATGATGTCCCGCCTTCCGACCACCATTGGATGTTAACACTCCAGCCTAAACCTTGAAGGACAGGTGACATCATAGCTGTTTGTAACAGAACTGACTTACCAAGTCCCTATTGATTCCTTGGGCGTGTGATTTGCTAAACCAAAAAACAGGATTTTGGCAGTATTACTGAAAACATAATAATGTACAAATATTAAAATATTATTAAATCAGTTATGATATTAAATCTATTAAAGATTTAGGAAGGAACAGCAGTCCAACGTCTAGGAGGAAGTGAGCAGGGGAAATTTTGAGAGTGTCTTCCTTTTCTGTCGAAATGTTATTAAGGTCAGAGGGGGGAAGAGGACATGGAAGACACAGGAACCCTGAGGACAGCATTATACAATCTCTCTACATAAAAGATTCTCAAGGGATGGATTACTGAGGCCACCAAAGGTGTGTGTAGAAGAAATGTAGTTAGATGCGAACTGGGTGTTTTTTTTTAATTTTATGTTGTTATTTTCAGGAATAGATGGATGTCTTTGATCATTTGTTTTATCTCTAACATGATTTCCAGGAAGCAATTTTCTGCATATTTACAATTTACAGTTTCTTGCAAGATCTAGCAGCCTCTCCATATGTGCAACTTTCATTTTTTCAGTAAAAATAACTTCTTACAGGAGTGACAATTCCTGTATTCCAGGAGGGAGGTCCAAGCGCACATTTTGACAGTCATGGACCTGTCACAACAGGACTTAAGGAAGTGGCTGATAAGAGCTAGAACTGGTTACTGATGTTGCTTATAACCTGGAACTGAAGTATATACACGAGCTCCTATAATTTGTCTCTAACCTCAGTTTTAGGTGCTTTACCAAATACCCTATTCATAAGGAGGGTCTTTATGATAAGGCAGTTACACTTGAGTCTTTCTTAACAGGTGGCAGCCCACTGAGTAGCTATCAACTTTATTTGTCCTTTCAACTGATGATGCTTGTGCTGTTGAGTTATGGCACCACATTTAACTACTTTGAAATTCAGCTCCCCACTTTCCAGGAAAGAAAATCCAGGATCTTCTTCCCACACCCCTGCAAAGAGTCCAAAATCTTCAGATCTCGCCTGTTCTACAGAACCATTTGCTGTAGGAATCTCAGGATCCTCCTTAAATCATGATTCCTCCAGTAGAGGCATGACATAAATCTGAAAAATCAGCTACTAAAGGGAACCCAAATCCTGCAGTTACAACTAATTTCAGTAGTTAGGAGAATACACTCTGTTTGGGAAAGGATGTGTACAATTTGGAGGGAAGAAATGATAAAATGATTCCCTGTTGAATTTTAAAGACAGTGTCTTATATTTGAGGCAATGACTTATCCAGAGGGAATCTCACCTTGAGGATATTAATCCCATTTTGCAGAAGCCAAGATGGGGAAGATTGGAGGGTTTTCAGACTCTACTTTCTTTCATTCAAAGAATGGGGAATCTTCCATGACAGCCCAGCTAAAGAGTAAGCTTTGAAAAAAGATCTTGCTTGTGCCACAGTTAATAAATTAGTTCATTTTTTGTGTGTCTTTGGAAAGATGCACGTAATGTATTCACCCTTAGTATGTGTTAGACTTCTGCAGGGTGCTCCCTGCACAGTCTCCAAATTGTTCTTCAAACATCCATGACTTAGAAAATAAGCCAGCTTTGGGTGGGATGGTCTAAAAGAGAAATAAAGCTGATGTTTGAATGTTATTTTGCCCCATTTTCCTTTTCAGGTGCTCTTTTCCCATACCCCCAAGAGTCAGAAGAACAATTTGGAGGCAAGGTTATCTTTTGAAAGGCTAATTCAAATGCAATTTGTATATATTATTTTGAAAAAGCTACTATTTATTTTATAACACAAGAAGATGTAAAATACTTTGTTTTATTGTCTTCTGCTACTCAGCTTTTCTTTTCATTCTGTTTTTTTTCTAGAAGAAACGTAAGCAGAGCTCTCCGGATGAAGATGCAATCAGTGTCTGCAGCTTTGACTCAAGTGTGAGTGAAACATTGATTAAATGGAATGAGTACAGTCTGTATGGCTAAAGTGGGAGTTTTGCTGGCATTTCAGTGCCAATCCATATATTCCTAATGCTAATTCCATTGGATAATATTGATAACTCTGTCATAGCTCATCAGTATCTGCTTGTTAAGCTTTAAATTGTCAAGATCAGACAGCTGCTCAGATTGCTGGGCTAGAAAAAAATAATAAAGAAGACTCAAAGTATAAAAAGTGGGTCTTGTCAAGACCTTGTGCCCTGGTAGCTCCATGGCTCCATGACAAGATCCATGTCTTGATTTTGATAATAATTTTGGTCCAGATTATGTTGAATGATTTTCTAAGTCTTGTATGTAAGACATTAAGGACGCATTGCACAGTGTGGTCTTGCAGCCTGTTAAGCAGTTTGTTAGAGTGAGTAAGCCTTATTTAACACTACAATTTTATTTAATTTATTTTATTTAAAACATTTATTTATCACCCAACTTATTGAGATCACTACTTGAGAGAATTTACATAACAATACAGTGACAATTATATAAGATCAAATAAGAGTAAAATAAAATTCCCATCAACTGCCCCTATATAATAGCATTGTGCTGTCTCTGAGTATTGCATATCTGCCACATGACCATGATATATGGACCCTTGGGCTTTAACCCTTTCATAAACACAGTATAGTTTTAATTTAGAAAAGTCTGAGCTGTTGTGAAAGGGACACTATGACTGTCTTTGGCAGGCCAACTGCCTCAGACCTGTGTTCTTATCAGACTTCCCAGAAACAGAGTGGCCTGAGGAGCCAGAAGGCTGAAGTGGGGTCCCACGTGGGAATGAAGAGGTGAATGAGCTGCATCTGGATGGTGGGGCGGAGTCTGGAGTGAGTTGGCTGCCACCAGCCAGGCTTAAAGGAGGAGGATGTCATCCTACACAGGAGAGGACTGAAGGCTTGGTGCTTCAAGACTGATGGATTGGCTCATGGGTCCACTTCACCTCAGGTGTAGATGTGGGGAAGGAGCATAGGTAGGCATCCCATTGGATCCCTCTTGCTGAAAGAACAGGTGCCCAGTGGAGCCTCAACCCACTGGCACCACCCCAACTCAGAAGTGGTGATGGCAGAGGAAGCAATACAGGTGGCTGTGCCAGATTTGGAGATGGGATGATCTGCTGGGGCTTGGGGACCTTCATCAGCCTGGCACTATTAGCCCTCCCTAAATAGCATTAGCTAGCTGGGGTCAGTGTTGTGGACTAGATCCCAACCTAGGACTAGAGACACAGGGGGCCCATTGAACAGACCCTGGGCCCCATTATGGACTGAAAGCAACGGGAGACTTGTGAAGGTAACTAAGCCCCCCTGGACTGTCAGGGTAGGAGGAGCCAGGCATCCAATCAGATCTTGTACCCTGTTCCCCAACCCTTATAAAGACAATTTGTAGCAGCATCAAGAATCTGGACATTGGTCAGAGAGCTCCACCCAGCCACCTGTTTGTTTTCTTACAGAAATTGCTTTGTACATCTTAAGAGATATTAGGCCATTTAGATCAGTTATAATATTAAACTTTCATTTTAACATTTTTTTTTATATTATTGATAGTTGTCCTGTTCAAGCAACAGAACTTCAAAAATGCCATATCTGTTGTTCCAGGCTTAATTGGAGGGGGATGTTCTACTGAAATATATTTTGAATGTATTATTGACAATGAAGTTAGTGCATAAATTGCAGAGCCAGATTTTGTTCAGAGTGCCCTGTTAGTGTGCTCTGTGAGGAAATTGAATGGGTTATGTAGTTCTTCTCAAGTCTTTTGCAGGTGCCATTTTATCTATATGAGAAAAGAAGATCTGTTTTCACTCTGAGTCCAGGCTGCTTTGTGCTGAGCAGAGATGGAACATTGTATTCCATCCTAATCGTGTGTCAGGAAAGCCTATCATGAGAACTGAAAGGAGGGGTTGAGAAAAGTTACAATTTGAGAGTGAAGTTACTGAACAAAGAATTTTGATTGGATAACATCATGTTGAGGGGACATTGATTTAAGATCTGGCAAAGGACTAGTAAAGAGAAGAGAAGCCAGGAAAAAGTTACCCATCTGCCTGGCTGCTAGTGATGGTGATGGATGGAGACAGAGTTTCACCATAATTACTAGCTACTCGTAATAGTGGAAATTAAGCAGAAATGGTTAGTTTTTATTATTTTATGGGGTTTGGGTTTACATAGAGTTCACTTGTTTATCTGAATATGGATTGCTTTATGCTTTTTCATTGCTTTGAAACTGTACAACTGCCTTTTAAAATTCTTTTACTTTTTTACAGTTTTTAATAAACTTTTTAATATTTTACCAAAGTGTGATCCTTGGGGAGAAAAGGGGTGGAGTACCTAAAGAAGATGTCTTGGCCAGAAGGCTGTGCTTGCTAACGTTGTTATTTGCGTTGTGTACCTAGTCTGGTTGGTATTCTAGTCACAAAATACACTATCAGGAGAGTTTCTGTCCTGGGAAAAGGTGACTGGTAAAAATCTAGGTTCAGAAGATTGCCCTTAGTTGCTAATTCACAAACCCTCTAGGTTTCACTCATCCCTGGTTCAAAGGGTGATGGAAGGCAGTACCTAGTGTGGCTCTTTCATATAGTGGAATATTTGAAATGTGTATATTTTATCAACATAGGAACTTGGGTGGATCAAACCAAAAGCACATCCAGTCCAATATTTTATTAACAGGTCAACCTGTCGGATGTCATAAGCCATCAGTGACTTGTGATCAGTTTCCATGGTGGTTTTTTAAAGACTGGATAGGCAATCTCACTTCCACTCTTTCCCTTCTGTTCATCAGTTGTCTTTCTTGCTTTGAACATAGGGGTATATAAACCCTTTCCTGTAACGGAAAAGTCAAGAAAGCTATGTTTTGTTGCTAAGTTGGGAAGGAATAATTTGAGCAATAGAGGTGGAAAGGAGCAAACAAACACAAGCCACATTGAAATCACACTAAATTATGATTGTGTATAGGCAGAAATATGTCTTACAATGAAAAATATAATAAGATTTGAGCACATAGTTCTGTTATTCTGGAATTAGTTGGTTCTGTTTGCTTCAAATCAATTCAGCAAAGTAAGCTACAGCTCTTAGTCTGGAAGACAAAACTGGGACAGTTAATGACCTTTTGGAAGTCATTAATTCATAGGGGATGCTGTAACTCAGAAACAACTAGATGGTACTTATTGCATATACAGTGGTGCCTTGCTTAACGATTGCCTCACTTAATGAGGAAATCGCTGTACGATGAGGTTTTTGCGATCGTAAAATGATGGTTTAAATAGGGTTTTTCGTTTAACGGTGATCGGTTGCCTGCTTTGGGAACCAATTTTCGCTTTACGACGATCAGCAAACAGCTGATTGTTGGGTTTCAAAATGGCCACTGGCTGAAGAGAATGCCCCCCCCGCTGTTTTCTAGGATGGATTCCTCGCTTTACAGGCACCGAAAATGGCCGCCGTATGGAGGATCTTTGCTGGACGAGCGGGGATTCAGCCCATTGGAATGCGTTGAACGGTTTTTAATGCGTTTCAATGGGTTTTTAAATTTCGTTTGACGATGTTTTCGCTCTACAGCGATTTCGCTGGAATGAATTAACATCATCAAGCAAGGCACCAATGTACTTCTATAGGACTATAAATTCTATACATTCAAATGCTTCAATATCTCCTTGCTTATGTTCGTATTAGCTTAGCACAGAAAACAGCTTGGCAAAGAGAGTGCAGTATTAGTTGTTTACTGGCAAAACAAAGAGCAAATGTTCTGTCTTTACTACGTTATAGTACACACCACCAATCTGCTCTATTCTCAGTATTAGCATTTGTAACATGACCATCATCTCTGAAATAAGTTTCCCAGAATAAATTGCATCAGATTCAAAAAACACAATTTTTCAAATAAACTAAATGTCTGATTCTCCCTATTTCTGTATTTATAATCTGCAAAAATTATAATCTACATTAAGTGTCTAAAGTAAAAAGGGGGGTAAAACCTATTTTAAGATTACAGTGGTGCCCGGCATAGCGAGGTTAATCCGTTCCAGTTTAACCATCGCTATTTGGAAACATCGCTAAACGGGACGGGAAAACCCATTGGGTTCCAAATGGGCACAAAACTCACCGTTCAGCGATGTTCCTCCATAGCTGGCCAGCCAGCGAGGGCAGGGCGCAAAAACGCTGCGTGTGGCCATTTTGGGTGTTCCGGGGCACAGACGGGCGGGCCGGAGGGTCTTTCTCCAGTGCGCGAGGGCTCGGAGGCAGCCGCCGCGGATGGGAAGGGGCGGGCCATCCACCCCTCTCGCCAGCCAGCCAGCCAGCCTGGGAAACACCCAGCCTCCTTGGGCTGAAGAGCGAGGGCTCCGAGGCAGCGCCGGGGATGGGAAGGGGCGGGCCATCCACCCCCTCTCGCAAGCTGGCCAGCCAGCCTGGGAAACACCCAGCCTCCTTGGGCCGAAGAGCGAGGGCTCCGAGGCAGCGCCGGGGATGGGAAGGGGCGGGCCATCCACCCCCTCTCGCCAGCCGGCCAGCCAGCCTGGGAAACACCCAGCCTCCTTGGGCCGAAGAGTGAAGGCTCTGAGGCAGAGGCGGGGATGGGAAGTGGGTGGGCCATCCACCCCCGCTTGCCAGCCAACCCCGCATGCCCGGTCTCCTTGGCGGGGCGCAGATGGGGCAAGGAGCGGGTTTCTGGCGCCCCGCCCCCGTCCAGCTGCTGCCGCCCTGATCCCGATCCCCGGCGGGCGCCTCCTCCTTTGCATTGCTTCCCGCCACGACTGCTCTCTGGCTCGGTGCCCCAGGGGTGCGCGCGGGGATTGGGGCCAGGCCCTTCACCCTCCTTCCCTCCCTCCTCCGAGGCACCAATCCGGAGCACCCCCGCTCCCCCCTCCCGCTGTCCCCTATTTATGCAGCGCAATCAGCTGTTTAAAAAGCCTTGCTTGGGGTGCTCATCAGCTGTTTTAAAAGCATTGCTTTGCCATGATCGGTTCC